TGGTGAACATGAAGATTTTAACCACAGAGACTTCAGACTGCTGCTGTTTTTTACATCGACTGAACATGGATTATTTCCAGTGTGTACTCCAGACCTGTTATTGTTATTGAAAAATCCCCATCATCTTCAAGCCGAAATGATGTTCCAGCAGGTAAAAATGTTGTGGACATTGATTGACACAAAATTTAAATGCCAATATTTCCTCTTCACATGGCTCATTCAAGGTTTTCTTTCTCAGATACTGCGGTGCTTTTGTCTGCTCTTCTTTTTGTGTCCTTTTCAACCACTGCGATGCCACCTCACTGCGGGCTTTATGTCTAATTTGTTCCAGGTTTGAAAGACGCCTCGGGCCAGTCTCCTGTGTCTTTAATCTCATTAAAGAATACTAACAAATGGTAGGTGTTTTTAATTAAGCAGTCTAGGACATTGTTGTCAAGAACTAACTAATCCTCCAAAGCTGTTGCTCTTTGTGTCATGTTTTTTTCATGGCCTGATTAGGGTTGGAGTACCGCTGAACACTAATTCTTCTTTTGTAGTGATGTCCTGCTTCACACCAGCGCAGGTGGACACCCTCACTCTCAGGAGCTGACCTGGGTGAATGCCGCCCCCCGCTGTCTGCCGCTAAGCAGATGGGAGATTCGACCCTGCTCACCTCATTCTGCACTGGGACTCACTGTGGCAAGTTTTGCAGGAGAGAATAAATGCACTTCATAGATTTCAGTTTTTATAAACAGCTGAGTTTTTGAAAGACTTGTGTATGCTTTCAAATGTTATCCGGTATTACTGTTTTCTGAAGAGGGTACAACTTTACCTCTGAGGTAAAAGGCTGCACTCAACCCAACAATTGGCCTTTAAAGCTATTCACTTCCTTGAGTTTTTTATGTGCTGCATCTCTTAATAATTCAGTGCCTTCAGAGAGACGGTGGATCATGTACGGTAAAGACAGATTTACAGCTCTGAATTCCTCAGAACAAGAGCTATATATTCACGCAAGAAAACATGAGCCACTTATTTCATAATGATCTCTCTGTCAGCGTAATGATTGAGGACAAAAGGGAAACTTTAACTGAAAACTTCACCTCATAATTATCAGTAGAGAGAATTAATTTCAGTTGGTACAGAAATCTTCTGTTTGTAAGCAGAGTCTCGACGCTACCATCATGCCACATTTTCCAGAAAACCTGCAGTTGAGGGTGTAAGCTTTTAATAAGTGTAAGTGTGACAGTCTGAGTGTTGTGCACCAGAGACACTTTAATCTGCTGTCAATAGAATCTAACATTTGACTACTTTGGCAACCATCTGGGTCCCTTGAGGGTTTTTGCATCATTACTGCATCACTTTCTTCACCACGCTACACTGAGAAGACTGCGTAAACACTTCGAGGACACGACTGGATGAAAACACCACATACTGGGCTGTTATTTGCCACCACAGACTTACAGAAACATGGCTGCTGCAGGGAAGTGTAAAACTCCAGCCTTTGTCTGCTCATCAGAGCCAGTTTCTGTTCCTCCCAGGAGCTTGATTATGATATCAGCTTCAAGCAGCAGTTGACAATCAATCCTTTTTTTTGCTTGATAAGGACACACAGAAAAAAAATCAAAACTGCAAACTTGTTTATACATGTTTGACTTCCAACAACTTTCTCCCACAGCAATAAATCTACGACCAGTTTTTAAACACGCTGGTAAAATCTTAAGCAGAAGTTTGGCTGAGTACGATTCCCATGATATCAAAAATCAATAGGCCTACACATTTCTGCCAAGTTCAAGATGCCGGAGTTCCTGTTGAGTTCAGATGAAGCCATCAGTTGCTGTTTTAAAAGTTTTCATATTGTTAAGTTACACAGCTTGTTTTGTGTGTCTGGTAAGATTTTGCAGATATGCCCCGAGTGTCAAGCTGAGATTCAAATCACAGCCTCCCTGATAAAGCTGTACAAAAGTCTGCACAGGTTTTCTGACCACATTTGAGGTGGATCTCTACATTTAGAGATTGATTTCCACCAACCTATCAGTGGAGAGTTATACACTACCTGTCTATGTGAGAATGGGTTTTTAAACACCACTACAGAGGGCTGAGATTTTCAGGCCAAAAATACATTACATACAATACATAAAACATCTAGATCACTCAAGTTTTCTGCTGTTTCTTCCACTTATTCCTGCTTACACACACCTTTGTCATTGTACACAATTTGTTACAAATCCAGTTAAGAGAACTATCATGATTGGTTCTTGTGAATTTATTTTTTCTGGTTTTGTAATTTACTTGCACTCTTCCTTGTGTTTCTGTCCCCTGTGATCCTGTTTTGTGAGTCTTCTTTTTTTGTCCTATTTCCCTTGCATTCTTAGAGGTTTATTTTATTTTGTTGTTTTTGTAACTCTTTATTTGATGCATATCTCTATAACGCATTATAAATATATGTATAATGCGTAATAATCACATTATAGCACTGTATAACTTTAGTTATAAACACTCATAAATGATCATAATGCTTTATAGTAATAATCATAACACATTATAAAGCATTTTATCAGGACTTACAAGGTCAGGTATTATAATGTGTTATAACTGTTAACAACAGTTGCATTGCATTATCTATGTGGGCATTGTCTGCGAGTTGTTAACAGTTATAACACATTATAATACCTGACCTTGTAAGTCATGATAAAATGCTTTATAATGTGTTACGATTATTTCTATCATATCATTTCTGAGTGTTTATAACTATAGTTATACATTGCTATGACATGATTATAATGCATTATACATATATCTCACCTGTCTCTTGTTACCCGTTGCCCTGTCTATTCAATCCCTGTGTGCCTTCCCTGCTTGTCAGATCATTGTCATCACCATCTCTTGTTTACCAGTGCCCTCTTGAGATTTCTGATTCCTAGTGTGTTTTTTTTTGTTTGTTTCGTTTTTTTCTGTGGGAGTGTTTCATAGTAAGTTTTTGTTGGACTTTCTTGTTTTGTCTTTTGTTTAATTAAACTTTATCAGTCCTGCACATGGGTATTTCCCTTTTGTTTTTGTTAAAATGTGACAAAAACATGTCCCCCATCACTTGTATTACTTTACTTATACTTCTTTGTCTTTTTGAACTACTAAGGTGTTCAACAACTTCAAGTTCTAATGAAGTTTCCAGCAGTAGTCTGGACCAGCTTTATCAGCAACTGCAATGTCCATCCACTCCGATAAGCAGTAACTTGTGACTCCATATGGAGCAGACATGAGCAGAATGAACAGTACTACCCCAAACAGAAAGAGACAATTGGTTAGAGTAAAGTACTGATCTGAAAGACATACAGACTATCTCCTTTTTTGATCAGAATGATGTTTCTTTCCAAATGGTCCAGAAGAGACCAGTCACTTCTGATTTAAGTGTTTACATGTAACATTTTCATTGTGAGCTGGCTATTATTCCAGTCATTAATGGCCCCAGGAGGAAAGAAAGCAAAGCAAACAAAATTATCTTCTGTGAGTAAAATGGGTGAATGTAGGCTGTCTGACATGAGCATATAAGGGAGAAGGTTAAAGCAAGAATGAACTAATGACAGTTTCATTAGTATTGCACATTGAGCTGTTGAGATTCTGCTGCCACAAAGGTGGGAGTAGAGCTATACAGTACCATGGTTTAACAAAATAAAATGTAATGAAATTCTGATGATATCTATCACAAACGTTTAATTCAATTGAATGAATGCTGGATCTCAAGTTCAAGTATGGTCCTCTAATCCCTCCTTTGTCCTTAATTCAACCAAGCCAAATCCTAAACCCAGCTGTGTTTACTGTGCCATCCTAGGTATTTCATCGACTTGTAGTTGGGAGAGGTAAACAATAAGTATTTTATCAAATCAGCATGATGTTTTCCTTTGCTGTCAGTATAGGACATTTATATTTGATGAGCTCATTGAAGTTGTCCTGCTTTGTGTTGTGAACAGGAGATAGCAGTCAAAAGTCCTGCTGAGAGTTTCATATGAGGGCTCATGTGGAAATAAATACAAAATGGTCCTCTCTGAACAGTTGTTGAAACAGAAAGACGGAATCACAAAGAATGAACAAAGAAGGAACAAACGGTGAAGCCAGCAGGAGGAGAGCTCACATACACTCCTGCTGGCCTGGGGTCAGATCCCAGCAGAGGTCTGTCTGCTGAGCAGCATCGGATCACGGATCAGCTGCTGTCCTCAAAGCCGACTGTCAGTGACATCATGCAGAACAAAGCTCTGACGGTCTGAAGGAAACAACTAAAACTTCGGTGTGACGGTTCAGCCTTCAGGGCGAGTCATCAGTTCAAAAGTTGTTAGGTTTGATCATTTCAGAGAAATAAAAAATGACGAGGGGCTAAAAACCTCTGTTTGAAATGAACATGAGATAGGAAATCTCTCTAATCATAATCTCAATTATGTTGCTTGTTTGCACAGGTAAATTTGTTGCCCCCAGTGGAACATTTTATCTTATTTTCTACCACTTTCATATCTCCTTAGTTAATCATAAAAGCATTTCTTTTGTGCATTTTGGATTAACACAACACCTTGTGGAATACAAGCATTTAACATAGAGTAAATAATTGTGGTTTTAGTTTCTTATTTCTGTAAGGATGTAATGCATGCCAGAAGTCACGAGGATAAGAGTAAAGTGTCTTCTTTATGTTTGTTTGCCTTCATAAATGTCACCCCGACTGATACTTGAAGGGAGGGAACGATTGTCCCCTGAGGCATACTCTGCGTTTGGTAAGGCGCGCAGCAGAAGCGCACATCTAATGGACATAGCCGAGTTTGCTTCCTGAGATTAATGTGTTGTAGAGAGCACTACTGCTCATGGATTCTTATTTATGAGATTATTCCTGTCCTAATCATATTCACTTTACAAAAGGCATCCGCGTCTGGTAAAAGTGCAGTAAACGCGCTCTAGGAGAGCTACGAGCTGAAGTTTGGAGACCTGTCGCCGACTGGAGGGCGCACGGCGCGCGCTGTGATTTCAACACCTCTGAGGGGAATAAACAGAGGATCCGAAGATGAATGACTCGGCTATTTTCTGCAAAAACAACCAAACAGACAACTCCACTGACCCGTCGTGTCAGAACTCGAACCTTTCACCCTACAGCCCCATCGACATCACCACTTTCATGCACATTTTCCCCACGATCTACGGCATCCTGTGCTCGGTTGGAGTTATAGCCAACGCGCTGGTCATCTACGCGGTGAAAGCATGCAAGAAGAAGATGGTTTCAGACATATACGTGCTGAACTTAGCGATAGCAGACATGCTGTTTCTGCTTGTGATGCCTTTTAACATCCATCAGCTGGTCAGGGACAGGCAGTGGGTGTTCGGAAACTTTATGTGCAAAGCTGTGGTGGTGGTGGATGTCAGCAACCAGTTTACAACAGTGGGGATTGTTACCGTGCTCTGCATTGACCGGTAAGTTCTACACCAATCAGTATTTCAGGATTAAATCTTTATTTATGTTACATTGTCAGTCAACATAAAGATATAATGATTGTTTTAAGCATTAGAGTACTACCACAATTTGACATAAAGTACAGCCTTTATCGATGTATGACCTATAATGATTTACTGGATGATTGAAAAGTTCTGAATTCCTACAGGTGCTTAAATTGAAAAAAAAAAAAAAAAAAATAGTCACCCAACAGTGGGGCTTGAAATATACCAAAGGTTGGATAACCATCTGTGTGCACCAGCCCATAAAGACAAAGTGCCCTCTACATACATCACGCATGTGTCATGTTTATGATCTGAACACTCTGTGGACATTTAACAAGGTCTTTAAACCAAGAGCCAGGCCATTACACATCTCCATTTGAAGGTAATCAGAGCTTTAATGTGACACATTTTCACTGTAATATCCATGAGATATCTATAGGCCTGCTTGAGCAGATCAGTGTGTTCTGATGAGTTGGAACACCTGTCCAGATTAAATGTCCTCCATTGGCTCAATAAACGTACTCTCTTTTTTCTCCCTCATGTTCTGACACATTGACATCCAAGTTATTTCGCCCCATCCTTTTAAGTCAGTTTGAATAGTTAGTCTCAGTGAAAATTTCTCTTTGTGATCACTTAAAAGTTATCACACAAACCTTGTTGAATACCTAATAGCAGAAACCTTCCAAAGCTAATTGGAGGCTGTTATCCAAACCGATGATAACCTGCATCATACAAACAAGCTCATAATAGAGAAAGGCTGTCTGATTTCTCCACAGGTTTCAAACCTATCACACATCCCATTAACTGACCTAATTCAATGGAAAGTTGTGATTAGAGTGTCCCCTTTGACAGCTTCAGAGACACCCTTCAACTGCCTGTCCCATTTAATCAAAGTAACTCCTCATGTTTGGCTGTTCAACACACTTAGGGTGAGTGAACACGTTAACTTCAAATATCAGTCTGGGATGGCAACATGTCGCCAACAATTAAATCTCCAACTATTACAAATTCTGTTTAAGTTGGACTGAAAATCATATCACAGAGTTGTATTATCCTATTTTTTGCTCTTTGTCCAAAATTTAGATGAGTTATTATTTTGCAAAAGATCTGTCTGTTTGCAGTCAATTTTACACCAAAGTTTTTTATAATCTAAGTTTTGTAAAAAGTCATTATACAGTTTATACATAACATAAAAAGAGCCTTTCTTTCAATTAAGCCGCCCAAACAAACCTTTGTTTACTCAACTGTCTCTGATATCTTCTCTTCCCCTGAGGGAAGGGTTCATACTCTATGCTGACAAGGTTGCTGGAACTTATGCCTTTCTTTTTTCCTTGACTGGGACGCCATAAGAAGTATTTAGTTTACTGTAGTTCTGGTGTGACAATCTCTTACTTTACTAATGTGAAACAAAAGTATGAGACAAGGTATTAATCAGTACTCATTGATTCAACAATCAGTGAAAAGTGAGAGTTTTTCATCTTAAGAGTTAACCCCATCTCCCTCTGTTTACAAGAATTTCCCTGAACTATTGACTTATTATGTACGATAATTGCAAATGAACAGGCCGTCCTTGTAAAACACAATAATGTCAACAACTTATTAGTTTAAATGACTGTCTAATGTTACTAAATGGGGCTGGCTGGACCAAAGATTAGCATGTAGAGCTGCAGCTGGAAATATTGAATTTGTTCCACTAAAAGGACACTTTGTTCACTTAATGTGGAAGTGGTCATTTATTTGCTGGGAAATGCCCCGACGATGGGGTCAGTTTTAGCTAAACTAAGCAGTGGTTTTTGAACTACCCAGTCAAATGCAAATCGCCCTTTTTGATATTGCGCTGGTGCTGCACCGCCAAAACTCAAATCTTTTGCCAATGTATTTCATTCATTTCTTGTCAAAATGTCTAAGATATGATTAAGATATTTTGACAAATAAAAGGTGTTGAACTAAAAGGCACTCATTTCTAAGGTACTTCTGTTCAGCCTTTTCAACACACATTTAACTGAAACCCCTTTCAGACATGGACAAAGTTTGTCTCAAATCCCTCATATCACCAGAGTTTTTCACCTCAATTTCACCCAGAATACTTGCTGCTAGCCCCTTTATTTCATCTCAGGGTGAAGTCCAGGTGAGCTCTTGGGAGAAAGCAGAAGTAAATCTCTGGGATAATTCCCTGTGAGTTGTGGGGGGTTAGCAGACGGGGGATGTTGTTTCTCATGTGGCTGGTGTTCTGCTTAGTTTACGTTGAAAAATGTTGCTGTAATCTGAATCAATAACAAAGGTGGCCGATTTGCACTATTATTGTTTCTAAGGTCATAAACAGGGATCTGCTGTATGACTAAGGCGGGGTGTGTATTTTTAACGCTGATATGAAACTTTTGTTGAAGATTTTAGGAAAAGTATTTCAGTGCCTGAGTAAACTCAACCAAATAACGCTCCCAGTACAGAATCACTTTATCACACACCCCTGCTCTCTCCATTTGATTGAGGTTTCAAGAGTAGTTTACCTCCGTAGTCTGTTGCCCCCCAGCAAAAAATACTCCTACGGGTGACAAGCTTGAGGCATGTGCAGAGCTGCTTGGTAGTCAACTGGAGAGAAACTTTAGTCCATGAACCCAAGAGAGCAGAACATAATGAAATAAAAAGCAAGTAAAAGGTGGTGAGATGGCCTCATACTCACTCCTCCTCACTAGTATGTGAATTTCACTTATTTGTAGCCACTGTGGAGACATTCAAATTCTCATCACATTGATGGAAAAGTAAAAAAAAAAAAAACTGTCACTAAATCTGTCTCTGTGCGCCGACTGTAAAAACAGAGACTTTGATTGCAATCACTGACAATAACACAGCAGCGAGCATGCAAATAGACACATCTGCTTTGGGTTGAGGAAACAAAAACAAAGAGAATAAGATTGAAAATAAAGTAAAACTTATTGTAGAGTTATATTAAAGGATCCGTGGTATAACCCTTGAATAAGGTTGTACATCATATTGCTATTGCAGGGTCGATTTGAGGTCATATTTGGCCTGCTGTAAACCCCCATGACCGACATGGGAGACTTCACGCTGTAAAACATTACAGTCAGGTACATTTCTGAGGAGATCCTTTGAGTTGCATGTCCGAGAGATGCTTTACTAATAAAAAGGCAAAGAGCCTCAAGGTTGATACAGTCTACAGCAAACACTTGGTTATGGAACCAGATATAGAAAATGACTCAGTCGGCACTGTTTGTTAGCTGCTCCCCCCTTTTGCTGCTCTACTCTGCCAATTCTGAGCACACAGCGCCACAGGAGCCACGTTCATCAAAAGAGTTTTTAGTCATGGTGTTTTACTCTTTTTACAGAACCCAATAACGAATCAGAAAAAAAAACAGCATGTAAAAACTATTTTAATGACACAAACTGTGCTTGAGAAAAGTTTATGTGATATATGATTCAGTTTTAAAGTTTGTTCCATCTGTATACATGGAGGGGGCGGGTTATATGACCTTTACTGCTGCCAGTCAGTCAGGGAGCTCCAGATGTTTGGAGTTGCTTTTTGGTTGCTTTAAAATTGTTGAATTTTTTATTACAGTGTCTTCTGAACTTCTTCCTCCCAGGTACATCGCTATCGTCCACCCCACCTCTGAGCGGAGAACCATTCAGTGGACCATCATCATCAACCTGCTGGTGTGGCTGGGCAGCTTCCTCCTCACTGTTCCTGTCATGATCTATGCCAAGGTAGTGCGGCGACAGCAAATGGAAGTGTGCATGATGTACTTGGATGGGCCAGAGGACATGTACTGGTACACCCTCTACCAGTCCATCCTGGGCTTCATCATCCCACTCATCATCATCAGCACCTTCTACTCCCTCACACTCTACCATGTCTTCAGCTCCATCCGCCGAGTCAAGCGTAAGCAGTCTGTTTGGGCCAAAAGAGCCACAAAGATGGTTCTCATGGTCATCGCTTTGTTCCTCATCTGCTGGACACCCTACCACGTCATCCAGGTCGTCAACCTGACCAACAACAGCCCTACCATCACCTTCATCTACGCCTACAACATCAGCATCTGCCTCAGCTACTCCCATAGCTGCATCAACCCGCTCATGCTGCTCATCTTTGCGCAGAATTACCGTGAACGTCTCTGCCACAAAAACGTGCTGCAAAGCTCCCAGCAGTCGTCCAAGATCACTGTGGTCAAAGGAGAAGGCTCCATTATGACCAATGACCCCAGCTACCGCTGTACTGTCATCTGAAGAAGAAGACATCCTCTCTATGCATGTCTGTACATTTTTGGTTCCTTGTTCAATGGGAGGGTAGCCTGTTGACAGGTGTTTCCTGAGAGGTAATATTCTCCAGATTCTTCTAATGATTATGTCGGAAATTGAAAAGTCCAAACTGAGGATGGAGCATGAGCAGCAAAATGAAATATGACCGAAAACAATTACAGGAAATACCACAGGTTTCAAAAAGTACTGGCCTCCAATCTTTGCTTGAGAAGCTCTGAATACACATCAGACTCTTTGCTGCTTTTTCCTGGAGGCTGTTTTTTTTGTATTATATTTGTTTCCCATCTCTTGTTCTTTTGTTTTTATTTTCATTCCTTTTATATTAATCTGCTGTGATGAAATGAAAATGATTGTAATTATCGTTCTTTTATTTTTCATTCATTTTTATTATTTTGTACCTCTTCAAGGTGAGCAGCGCCACACACACACACACACACACACACACACACACACACACACACACACACACACACACACACACACACACACACACACACACATATTTACAGATATCTAACACTTCCAGTGAAATCTCACCAGCTATTTCATTTGAAAACCTCATTTTCTTCTACATACCTTCTCATTTTTTGCTGATGGTATTTTTCCCATCTGCAGTCTTTGAGTGTGTTGTTTGCTGTTGCCCTTATGATTATTTTATCTTTTCCCCAGAATTCCTCTCTCTCCCTTGTCAGTGTGATATACAGAGAAACATGGAACCATACACAGCTGCAAATCATAAATACTGTCTGAATCCTGAGCACAACCCTTATGTAGATCCAGACAATCAAACATACCCCCCAAATCAAATGTAGTTTCCTATTATTGTGAGCAAAATTCATACGTGTCTCAGCTACAGGCCATCATCATCTTCGAAACAGCAGGAATATAAAAACGTGTATACAGGGGACAGTCAAACACCAAGAGACTGCAGAAATACTTGAAAGGAGTATCAGTGAATAAACATTCAGACATCTCTCCCCATGAGGAAGTTCTGACCAAAAAAAAAAGAATAGAATAACTTGTTTCCTATGCTATAATGAATGATGCAATTTAAATCCAGATGATGAGTCATTTGAAGACTTGTGAATACTTTGTTGGTTGTTTGAAATATTGTGTTTAATCCACGTGTCTTTGTCTCCTTTGTTATAAATGGAGTTGCTATGATACAAACCTCAAACCTTGAAGTCCACCAATGAATGAATGAATCAATGAGGCAAGGTAATAATGATAGTGTACGCTCAAAACTTGCCAATCTACATACTAGGGCTGTCCCAAAAGAAAAAACAGTATTGACTATGACTGTCTTTTTGCAAAAGTAAAATGTGATTACCAGGTCTTAACAAGGTGAAGTCTGCCTTAGGTGCAATGAGCCCACAGTGCTCTTGAAGATGCCCAGAGGTACCAATTAAAGTTTCATTTTCAGTCACTCTGATTAGAGTGGTTTATATATATACTTTTACTGGTGCCTTGTTTTTCCTCTCTCGTATGTCTTTATCAATTCTCTTTTTGGTTCAGAGAACACTCAGGCACAGACATGTGCTCTGCATAGCAACCATGACTGGTTTGCACTTATCAAAAATGTAATTTCACACATTTTTCAACACTTTTATCATTATCTTCAATTTTCTCTTCATGTTTTGACACGTTTCCGTCCTTTGGATGTTGACATCATTGAATGTGTTGCTCACTGACTTACCCCATATCCTCTTTTGTTATTCTTGTTCTTATCCTTGTTTTTGATGATATGTTGTGTGTTTGTAGCAAGACAACAAAAGATTTTCAAACTGTGTCTTTGCTAGAAAGAAAAAAAGAAAAAAAAGCAGATAAACCACTCAGAGAAAGGTGAACTGGCTAGAGTCTTTGTGCAAAACCTGCAGGAAACCTCAGCAGTGACTCTCAGAGACACAGAGATGAGAAAGGTCGTGAAAGTGCGGCTCAGTGTGGCTTTCTTTAGGGCTCAGAACACTTAATCAAAAACAGGCTGTGTCCACTGTTATGCCAATGAGTGACACCCCTGTAGAAGCTTGTTAGGTCTGTCAGTGACAAACCCGTGTTTATGAGCCTGCTTCTTTAGGGCCCATGATAAAATGGAATCATAGTTAAGAGCTATTTACTGGAAAATTGTAGCCCCGCACATCGTGACATTTTTTTATAAAAAAAATAAAAACCTTCTGACAAGAAACCCTTTCAGATGTAACTGATAGCTATGAAAATGGGTAATAAATGATATACTACAGCTTTTCCCGGAGTCAGAGAACAAGTGAGGGGATTTTAGTTTGATGTAACATGATTGGCTGCTGCCTGTTCTTTTCATTTTTGTGATAAATCTGTAATTAAAGTAGGTCATAAGTAATAAATACTCAACTCTTCCCACTGTTTAATCATCTAACAAGTCTGCAGTAGTAAAAATTCTTATTGAGGGCTTTCATATTTTATTCTGTCTTTGTAGATGTTTATGAACAGTGAAAATTTGTGTGCACTTTGTGTGAAAAAAAGTGGTCAAAGTTTGCTTTTGGCAGCCCAAGATTAGTTCTCAAAAACGGTTCATATCTGGTGTATAAAACATTTATCGACCATTAATAATTAAACTGCCATTAATGGTGTCCTCCTGTGGTTGTTTGTAATGAAAACTGTCCCTTAGTCTGAGTTTTGTGTGGGTTTTCTTTTTATTTTCAAGTTTTGTCTCTACCCTTTTAAACCAGTCTCTGGAGCTTTCACCGTGGGTGGGTTATTGTGAACATTGTCTCAGAGCTTGTTTTTGTTTTTTTCTCCTATAAAATGAACTCAGACAATAGAGATGGTGTGAAGGACAGGTAATGTTCCTGCAATGACATCAAGTCATTTGCTTGGTTAAACATTTGCATAATAGGGAGTGTGAGTCAATGTACAGGAAAATTATTTATGCCTTATGTTTTGTCATTAGAGTGATTAAGTATGTTTACAATGGCACTGAAGCACTAAATGTGATATAATGTGAGTCCTGTGAATAAATCACCGCATTATCTGTCCAGGCAGAGATGTATCACCCTGACATAGATGGTTCTTCTTTGTGCTGTGTGCAAAGACTGGTACTATTTAGGTAGAAGAAATAGCTGTATACTGCTTTATTTTTACCTGACTTTGAAGTCCTTTGTTTTAGTTGTGCTCTGTGTAAAAATATAGTTAAGAAATTTCAAAGCTGCCCGCCAGTGAATTAGTGTCGCCTAATAAGTAGTCACTATAGACAAAAAATAATTGGAAAATGTACGTTTTTAATGCTCTGGTCAAGCACAAGAGCTGTGTATCCAACATAAAAGAACATTTTTTAAAATAGCGCTGCAGTTTTGTATTTAATGAGAAACTGTATCCATTGTAGACATGGGACCTCCTAAAAAATTGATATCACACTTCAAGGTGGTGCATCACCTAGTGTGTGTGTTACATGATGCTCTTGATTGATAGCTCACATTGTCTTGACGGAAGAAGCCTGAGAGTAACTTTAGACAGAGATGAGTCTCTCCTCATTTTTCAAAAAAAAAAGATGTTTTCAAATCTACAGAATATGTACAGCTACTATACTAAAATATACAGTATGAAACCGAGTGTATGAGGGATGTATGTTTGGCCTAGAGCATTAAGTGCTGCATGTCACCCCTCCACTCTTAACCCTCATGTATCCTGTGTTTCTTCAGCTAACCCATCTGATAAAGGCAAAAAAAATCCCCAAAATCTGCTTAAAACAACACCGAGAAGCACTTGTCAAGTAGTTTGTTTTATTGACTCCAATCAACAAAGCTAATTCGTTTGAACTGCAAGACCATAAACTTCTTAATATGTTCACACAGTTCATTCAAAATTAAACATAATTAATACAGAATTTTGTTTCTGAGCCACTAGAAAGCATGCCACACTGTGGCTTCAGGCTTTGTAACTGAGGGTTGATCCTCTGTGCCAGGACTCAAAACCAAAACTTCTTAAAATAACTTTTAATTTCACACGCAACACAGGCAACGGCGCCCGAAAGGAAAGATAAATAAAAATCACTGAGGTCGTACGTCAGCAAGAAAGTGTGAAATGAAGTGAAAACCTTTTTTAAAGGAGTCACATGAATACCTTCAGATCCCTAATGGCGAACCACATCATGACCCCCCTGATGACATCAGTTCAACATTATCAGGGTTGTTTCAGAGAAATGATCAAGCTCTTGAACACTGACCAAACATATTACACAAAGGAAACATTGTAATGTGTAATAAATCTGTTTTAATCTGATTGTGGAGGGACAAGGGCTAAATATCTTTAATCCTTCAGTCTGTGGTTCTGATTCTGAAACAGTCTTTTTCAGGGTTTGTCATTGTTAAAGGGGACCTGCCATCAAAATGTAATTTTTTGTGTTTTTTGTGTCAGATAAGGTCCATATTATGTTCGTCTTATGTTGTAAATGTGAAAACAAACCGTTACGTCATTTGCATTCTGTAAAGGTTTAAAATAAAGGAACAGGTAAACCAGGCCAATTGAAAAAGCAGGTCCCTCTGACATCGCGCTGACCTTGCTCATTATTATTCACGAGCGCGTCCTTGGTGAGCCGCGCCCACTCTCTCGTTCTCGTACCCAGTCACAGTCAACGTCACTCTCCAGAGCGAGACCCAGCTACCACTGTATCCGCTATGGGTCTCTTCCAAACAATCGGTGTTTCCTTCGGTTCACTGCCGGGAAAATTAACTTAAAGCTGGACAGAATGAATGAGAAAACACCGCTGGAGATCACCGGCTTCTTCCTCAACTTCCACCTCCTCTTCGGACTCGGGGTCTAAAATATATGGTTTAATACCTGCCATTTTTAGCCTTTGGCATAAGGTGACCAGACGTCCCCGATTTACGGGGACAGTCCCCGTATTGGATGAGCTGTCCCCGGCAAAAGCTGTCCCCGAAAATGTCCCCGATTTAAGCGTTTCATGAATGAGAGCAAAAATGTTGCGTGTGGGCTCG